CAAGTACCTGATCTCTTTTACATCAAATAACTCCGTGGTTTCGTCTACCTGTCCTGACGTGTGCTAGAGGTGCTGGTGGGTTACCCTGCTGTTGTAGAGGCCTTTTGTGGCAGCCACGCTGGCACTTTGCTTGATGTTAAAATATTGAGGTATTTTTCTCTTTAAATTAAAACAGATTTAAAACTTTTAAAAAAATGATCATTTTTGTAGTACTGGGGTTTGAACTCAGGGCCTTGAGCTTGTTAGGCAGGCGCTCTACCACTTGGGCCATGCCTTCAGCCTTTTTCGCTTTTGTTTTATTTTTCAGGAAGGGTCTTGTGCTTTTCAGCCCAGATCAGACTTAGACTTCCCAAAGTAGCTGGAATCACAGATGTGCACTGCCACACCTGGCCCATAAATAACTGCTTATCTCAAATAAAAACAACTTGAAATGCTAGACCTGCGTTCCAGACTCCACAGTGCACTGGAATCCTGTGGAGGGCTTGTCAGATCTTGGGGTTCAATAAGTGGGGGGCCGAAGGGCAGTGAGAACTTAGGTTTCTAACAAGCAGTTGGGCGATGGTGGAGCTGCTGGTCCAGAGAGGCTGCAATTCAAAAGTCAGGACACGGTGTAGTCACTGACTTAGCTCCGTCCTTGGTGAAGAGCCGACAGTGAAGAGACCGATGCTGACACAGCCAATGAAGGTACGGACACAAAGGTGTGCAGAAAAGCTTGCCGAGGGCAGCCGGGGCCGAACTGCTATTCTAGGTGGAGCTGGAGCTGTTAGCAGATTGCCAGCTCTCTGCGCAGGTCATGAAGACCTCCCCGATTCTTGTGTTAGGACAGGACTTACAGTGAACAATGGAAAGCCACCCACTGCCAGCATGGAGCTTGGCACATTCTAGGGTCAGGAGGAAGCATTTGTGCTCTGTATTTTATAACATAGACATGTGAGCAGTGATGACAATGCCAGCTCTTTCTGATTTCAGTATTTAATACATCTGGTTCAAAAATGCACAAAAGCCAATCATTTCAGCACTTGGGAACTGAGGCAGGAGGACGGCAAGTTTAAGGCCAGCCCCAAATCGTAGCCCAGCAACACCTGACACCCAGAAGCTCAGAACCCAGGATATCTAAATGACACAAATGACAGTGTTAGATATGAAGACACTAAAAAGATTCACTTCATTTACTTATTTATTTTTTTGTGGGACTGGGGTTTGAACTCAGGGCTCTGCCTTTGTAAAGCACACTACCGCCTGAGCCATGCCTCCAGTCCACTTCACTCTGGTTATTTGGAGATGGTAGTCTTGCAAACTATTTTCCTGGACTGGTATTCACCTTCAATCCTTCAAATCTCAGCCTCCCAAGTAGCTAGGATTACAGGTGTGAGCCACACTACCTGGCAATGTTCACATTTTTACAGGCCAGATTTACCATTAAACTCTTAGGACACAAAACACTTCTCTAGAAAGTTCCACATACATGACAGTGGCTTTACAGAAATCCATGCCCTGCCCCTTGCCAGAATGTAGGCTGCCATTGAGCATCTGCGGATAGAAAACAAACATTGCCCATATCAGTTTGTCGTTAGCAGCTGCTACTTCCCTGGGTTTCCACTGCTAAATCCCAAATCTACAATTATCTTCAAGAATGAAAAAGCAAACCAAAGCTGAGATGATGACAATGACATCCAAGGAGAGGAGACAGACTAATATCCAATTCAGAAAGACTCTCCCCAGTACATGGCTGCAAATTCCAGAAAGACAAGGATTCTGTCTGTTCTTTAGATATGAACACAGTGCCTTAACCACTGGAGGACTGACTGCCTTTCACTGAATGAACGGATGAATGAGTGGCAATGCAACTTTCCCTTTGTGTGTGACACATTTTTGAACACGTCAGTTTGATGCTTCTCCCAAGTGGACTTTCCTATGGCCATATCCGACACTCCAAGGTGAAGAGTTGTTTTCCATAGCTGATTCTCAATGAGTAATTCAAGTCAGTCATCACTCAGTCTCATGCAGGGGCCATGCCTGCAGTCACCCCTTCTTGGGAGGCTGAGGTGGGACAATGCTAGAGCCCAGGAGCTTGAGTCTGGTCTGGGTAACATAGTGAGACCCCATCTCAAAAACCAACAAAACCCAAAGGGCTCTCTCCAGAAGATGCTAAACTGGTGCACAAGCCATCTTTGCAAACAGTGGCTCCCCACATGCGTGCATCAGGCACCTCATCTGAGTGGCCTGGACACCGACGGCCAGCCCAGCCCAGATTGAACACTCAGTCCTAAATGACTGTCAAGCACAGCTCGGGCTCAGAACCACTGTTTCAGGATCTTAGCAGTTGCCAGGGATATGAGATGAGTACCTAGGAAGGATGCACCAGGGGGATGACTGGACTGCTCACTGAACCTGCACTTACTCAGGCCCTTTCAAAGTTGTGTTTTTTAATTGAGCTAAGATACACGTGGCTAAGACTTGTCATTTTCATTGTTTTTTTTAATGCACAGTATTGTCATTAAGTCCATTCCCACTGTTGTACAACCATCACCGTCCTCCCATCTCTACAACCTGTCACCTTCCCCAACTGCCACCCACTGAACACTACGTCCCTCTTTCCACCTCCTCCAGCCCCTGGAGACCACCTCTCTATGAACTTGACTACTCTAGATACAAATGGAATTATATGCTGCTTCCCCTTTTGTGCCTGGCTTATCTCACTCACCCTCTCCTCCAGGTTCATGCATGTAGCATGTGTCGGAATTGCCTTTCCTTTTATTCATCCGCCCACCAATGGGCACTTGGGTCATTCCTGCCTTCTGACTTTTGTGAGTAACGCTGCTGTGAACACGGATGCACCGATGTATGTGAGTTGCTGCTGTCACTTCTTTTGGGTTGTATCCAGAAGTGGCATTACTGGATTATGTGGTAATTGCTTAATTTTTTCTTGTCATATAATTTGCCCAGAGGGTGCATTTACACTCCCACCACAAAATATGAGGGTTTTAACTGCACCACATCCTTGTCGGCATTTGCTGCTTCTGCTTTTTTGATGGTGGCTCTCCTCAGGAGCACACCAATGGCCTTTTTCACTCCAATAGAGGCAGTGGCCATCAATAACTGGCCAGAGTTAATGAGAGACAAAAGCCACTTATTTGACATATGACAATTTCTTTAGGCTGTGATCACAGGACTATCACATTTTCAGATGTAGGGTTCACCAGGCAGCCATGGTTGAGTACTATGTGGTACTGTGGAGGACGTACACAAGGCTGACTTTAAAACTGGGGTGGAGCGGGCTGGGAGCAGGGAAACCACTGGGAGGAAGGTGGCCAGTTTGCAACATCACTAGGAGGCCAAGACAGGCATGAGGGAGGCCTTGTTGCACCAGCATGGGGGACGTGCAGGCAAAACACCAAGTCCAAGAACGAGGACCTGGGCGTGACAGCTGCCCCAACACCCTGGTTTAAGTGATATATGGATTTTTCTTTTCCATTTCTTTCGTTTTCTTCCCTCCCTCCTCTGTCTATTATAAATCCATGCTTCAGGGCTGGCAGAGTGGCCAGTGGGACAGTGGCTGCCCAGCGAGCATGAGGCCTTGAGTTCAAACCCCCCGTACTGCCAAAAAAAAAAAGTGAACCCATGCTTCAAACGTACTAGATTTTGGTACTTCCCCAAGTGCAGGGCTCAAAGCATGACTCTGCCTACCATTCCTGTTAACCTGCACGTGAATGACACTGCCTGGACTTGTGCAGTGCGCAACCTGCATGGCAATATGGGGCACTATGACCAATGAAACCAAGAGTAAAGTACCATGAAATGTTTTGAATGTGTATATACACATCTGAGGGCCTGAGCTTTCAAGTAAGGTTTTTGTTTGGATTTTATAATTGTTTCATGAAAATTAATCAGATATGTGGTATATACACCTATATACAGTTATGATTCATGGCATTTTTATAACAGAAAATGGAAAAAATTGTAGCAGATCCACACAACTGTAAAAAAAAAAAAAAGAGAAAAGCACTTTATGTGCTGACACTGACACAATGACAGACTGCCACTGAGTCCTGTATGGTCACTGAGTGTTGTATGCCATCTCTGTGAGATGGGTAGGTACAGAATGTACAGTATTTTTTGCATGTGGGAGACATATCCCTCAAAGTGCTATGTACATTAACAAAGTACCATGGGTGTTCGCAGAGGGATCTGGGTGTGTGGGTGGGCTGGGAGAGTCATTTCTTTCTGTATTCTTTTACATGTTATGGTATTCATAAAAACATGTGCCACGACCTCTCCAATGTGCCTTCCTGAGCTGCCTTGACCAGAAGGCTACCAGCTGCTTCCCAGGCTCCATGGCTGAGGGCTGGGAGGCACAGAGGGTTCTGTACACTGGATATGCTTTGATGGGAAATGGAGTGTCAGATGGAGGGACGAATGTCATTGTCCTGCTGCTCTGGGTGGTGGATGCTGGCGACCAGGCCACAGGTGTTGAGAGGCAGTGGTGGCATAGGTGTGGCCACTGGATGTTGCTCCAAGACACAGTAAGCACTGCCTGGGTGTTGGCAGGAGGCAGCTATGATGAACATAGTGACTTCTCAACCCCTCCAGTGTGGCCACTGCTGCTTTTCATTTCAACAGCCTCACCAGCAGCCCCCAGCCCTGAGTCCCTTTGGCACAAGCTGCAGCCCGAGACAGGTGCTGGAGGTTGCTGGGCCATCCTGGAAGGCCTGCTGCACACCCATCCAAGAGACTTTGTAAGCATTCAGTTTGGGAAATGTAGCCCTTTCTGCTTAAAAGCTCTACAGTGGCTTCTATTTCCTGTAAGAACTCTCATGGAGAAAATTACATATTAAAATTTTAAGTAAATATAAAATTAAAAGTCATCTCCATGAAAAAAATTATCTAAAAAGATTTCTTGAGCAGTGTACCACTATACATGATTAGGCTGTTTAAAAACTTCATATTATCTTGTTAATCATCAAATATTTGAATAGTACCTAATAATAGATGAGGTAATTTAACAAGCTATCAGATTAGAAACACATGTCACGTGACTATGAGAGGTGCTGTGCGATGTGCACATGTTTAAAGAACCAAACACAATGTGTGTTTCCAATAAAATTCTAGGAGCAGCAGACAGATTCAAATACTTCTTATTCTTTGTTTTTATTTAACTCAAAATGGCTAGTAACATAAAAACATTTAAAAAATACCTTCAACACTTGACATTCAGTTATTTTTGGTTGATGACACTTGATTACTTGGCTCTTGCTTATTTCCAACATCATAAAATGTGTCCTTACAACTTTGCAGCAGGCTTTTAACTTGTATATTTAGATCCCAATCAAAAACCATGATGAAGTTATTACTTGCAATTTCAGATACTGTTCTCCCACACAGAAACTTATTAAAATGAATGACCATAAATAGGCTACTGTGAATTGGTTTTCACTGAGATGCCCACATGTATGTAGCACGATCATGTATGTAGTGTGGAGTTTTGATCTTCACCACTCACAACAGGAATGTCTGAACAGTACAGTTATGTCATTAATTCAGTTCATGAGGTCACTGAAAGAAGCCATAAGGAAGACAACATGACACCCCAAGGCCATGCCCTTGAGTAAAAGCCAGATGAGCACTGTCCATCACGCTTACTCTAGTCATCGTCCGTCCCACCGCCTCTCACCGGGCAAGCATCTGGCAGGGCTGAGTGTGAATCTAGTGTTAAAAGGCATGTTTTTGTTTTCTTTCAAAAACTACAGACTAGTCCTCCTCGAAAACCACTGGCAGCATCAGTTATCTTCACAGTAGCACAAGTATCTTCCAGCACTAGAGAGAAAAGTTGTAGATGGACAGATTTCCAATATGGCTCCTTTCCAAAGGGCTTACAAAGACCATGAAAGTACCCGTGTCATCTTATGTGCTGACATGTGTGCCTCAATCCACTACAATGTAAGTTCCAGTGCCATGATCTGTCATTGCATAATACTGCTAATCGAATTGAATTTCCAGTTTGGGTCTTTGCTCACATTTAGCACGGTGTGTTGTGGGACACTCCTGTGGTGTCAGTGCTTAAGAATGCACCATCACTGGCTAAGAACGTTCCATGATGAAGATCAGTGTGTCGTGAGATCTGAACAGAAAAGCTGTGGGAGTTAACTGGTCTCCATGATTCCAGCTATGATTTTTCAATTAGCAATGGTGCAACTGAAGTGGCACATAGCTTTGTCTTGTGACACGCAGGGCTCCCAGGAATCTTCTGTGGCCTCCTTTTCATGGGCTCCTCAGTCGGCAGCTACATTCTACTTCTGAAACATTTGGTCGTACCTGACCACTGCCCTGGTTCAGTTTCTATTTTTAAAAGCACCATTCTAATGGAAATGTCCCTGCCTGGAATTAAGCTGGGACTGTGAATTTTACCACTAGCTAAAGCTGTTATGTCAGAGTTTAGGTTAATTTGGTAGACACTGATTTCTTTGACTACGATTTTGAAACTTGCTTCAGCCTCTTTGTGCCGGGCAGGATTTCTACCTGGGCTGCAGATGAGGATAAAATACCCCGTGAAGAACTCCTTCGATAACCACATTTGGAAAATCTGAAAAACAAAAGGAAAACTGCTTTTCTTAGGAGTGTCAATAAAACATAACTGCATTTTGTAGACTGGACCAGGGGAAGGCCCGCTGCTACTTGGGAATCTGCACGGCCGCAGCGTGCCCTGGCTGGGGTGTGCCATCTATCACTCATGCTGCTGTCCTGTGCCACTTTTGCTACCACCAGGCGTTGCAGGAATGTGCGGCTAGATTTGTAGCTTATTGATTTAAGGGATGTTCTGATGGTTAATGCTGCTCAGCCCTGGCTCTTTATCTGAATGTTTTCTCACAAGGAAGATGGATTACACTGGCAATTCAATTTCTAACAAAATCTCAATATACTTGAAGGAATTCCAAGATTTCTACTGGGAATACTTTGCAGCAGTTTTTCCATTGTGGTTTACAGCAGCATTTAGTCCAAGTTGTCTGGAGTATACTTGTTCTATTACACCAGCTTCTAGAGAGCAGAAAGATGGGGCCTGTCTTCACAACTTAAAAAAGGGCAAATTTCCAACAAAAGCCATCTTGTCAAACTTGAAAAATCAGCCTCATTTTTGTAAGATAGATAGATACAAAGGAAACCCAGAGATACAGAGAGCATGTTGTGCCATGTTCCAGTTATCACAGCAGGTAGAATATGAATGGATTGCTTGGACAGGAACCAATCTCTTCCCTGGTTCTGATGTTTGTTAAACTTCCTTCTGCACATAGTTACAAACGGGCAATGTGCTAGAACTGAGCACTCTAAAGAAGGATAGTTATTATGTAAGGAAACTGAGTGGTCCAATACCAAAGAAAAATATGCTTATTTACTGATCAGCTATGAGTACATACTATGTAAAATCATGTACAAGGGGCTTGGACCTCATCAGAAAGGCAAGGAGTCTCCAGGTGAGGATGAGGCAGGAGGAGGAAACAGGAAAGTCTAAGGCAAGAGAGAGCCTGGAGGATTCAGGGAGGTCAGGAAGCAAGGGGAAGTGGGCGTGAGGACACCAGAGGACAAAGGGTGCCACATCATACCTGGGAAAAACAGAAATTCTGGGTTTATTTGAAACACAATGAAAAGCTACTGAGAGACCTTAGGTTGAGTGACAAAGGATCAAATTGTGTTGAAAAGATGATTCTGGCTGCCCCTTAGAGAACAGACTGAAGCAAGTTCAAGGTGGACATAGGTCAGTTCAGTTACTGCAGTAGCTCAAGAGGGAGAACACAGTCTAGGAGAAGAAGGTGGGTTCTAGAGAGTGATGGATTAGATGACCAGGGAGTGAAAGGGCGAAGTCAAGGGTGGCTTGCGGATTTCAGGCATGCATAACCTTAGGGCAGTGGTAGAAGACCCAGGAAGAGAATAAAACAGAAGCTCAACTCATGTCGAATTTGTTGAGTTGCCCTTGAGACTTGGGAAGTCAAGTAAGTAGTATATTCACTGCAAGCCTCTGTCCTGGGCAGCCACGTGGTGAAGGTGAGGCACCTTCTTTCCCACGATTGCAAAACAGATCTCCTAACAAGCACCTACCTTTTGGGTTGTAAAAACTGATGAGTGAGAGAAGTGCAGAGACCTGAACATGGCTCCCAGTGAGTCCCAGTATTATTATGTACCATGTCCACGTACCAGAGACGCAAGGAGATCACAGGTTACCCATGCATGTTACTTACATGCTAGTCAGAGAGGCAAGTCAACGAGCAAACAAACTTATGTTTAAAAAAACACCCCAAATACATGAGCTATTTTTGGTTGATAAAACTTGATTTCTTAGTATATGCCTTTTCCTGACAGGAAGGAACCTAATTTTTCATAAAATGCTATCTTTAAAAGCTTACAATAGGTCATACACCTGTGTGTCACACCTATGTGAATTTTAACTCTAAATGTATGTCCCCTGAAGAGAAATGCAATACACAGAGCTGCTGATTCATTTTCAACAAAATGCCCAAATAGGACATACCACATGTTACTGGCACATCTGCCTTTATCCTTTGCCATTCAAAACCTAAAAGTCTACTGAAGGTCAACGACATTGTATCATAAACATATTTAGCTTAAATGAATTCAGCTAGGTTCAGCAAAAGATAAACAAACAAGAAAGTGCCATTAAATATGTATGTATAATTCTACAGCACTGGATATGGGCCAAGTGTGGTTCAAGGGCAAGGGAAAAAAAGGCAGGGTATGAGCTAAAGAGTCCGGGCACAGAAAGTGAGAGAAGGCTATGTGAAGGAGTCACGTGAACAGAAACTTGAGCAGGGCAGCACAGGTGCTAGCTGTGGATGTGTGGGAGAAGGCATTCACAGTGAGGGGACAGTGGCTAAGGTCCTATAGTTACTACCCACCAGACAAGGAAGTTTGTGCCCATGTCTAGTGAAGGAAAGGAATGGGTACCCTGAGAAATGGTGACTGGAAGGGAGGACTTTGTAACAAGATCTTTCAATGGTGAGGTACTTGGGGTTTGCCTCCCTCCCTGTCTTCCTCCCTCATTTGTTCCACATCACGTCAACTTTGCTTCCTAATAGGCATACTATAACACAGTGTCCACTACCGCCTGAGTTCTCACAAAGCTGTCCTGGCCTTGGTTTCCAACTGGGAGGCGAGGAGAAGGAATATGATTTGGGATAAGGTTTTCTTGTTATCTTTGTCAATGTTCATTTATCAAATAAACATTCACTGTGAGCAACAATGGAAAAAAGTGAATGGGTGGAGGGAGCGTGAGCAAGGCTTCTGAAGATGTAGCATGTAGCACGAGGCCTGGGAGACGAGGCAGACCAATGAGGCATGCAGACAGAAGATTCAACAAGGAAGAAGCGCAAGTGCTGTGGGTGGGCCAGGAGGCTGGTGCATCTGAGGCCCAAAAAGAAATGCAGGACCTGGGTGCCAGTGGCTCATGCCTGTAATCCTAGCTACTCAGGAGGCAGAAATCAGGAGGATCATGGTTCAAAGCCAGGGAAAACAGTTCTGTGAGACCCTATCTCGAAAAACCCTTCTCAAAAAAAAAATAGTGGCTGGTGGAGTGGCTCAAGGTGAAGGCCCTGAGTTCAAAGCCAGTACTGCAAAAAACAAAGAACTGCAGAGGGGCAAGGCCAGAGTGGGTGAGAAGTTCCCAGTGGAAGCATGAGTGGGGCAGATCATGGGGCCTCGCCAACCATAGCAAGAGTCTGAGCTGGATGGAAATACAGCACAGCGCCTCAGCTGCACAGGTGGGGTAGTCAAGGCTGGGAGCGAGGATGAGATTATTCAAGAGAAAGCAGAGTGAGAAAAGCTCGGTCTTTGGGGATCTGCTGGAGTCTAGAAGAGAAGTGGAGGAGAAAATAGTCAGTACACCTGAAGCTGATGAGAGGCCAAGGAAGATGATGGAAAGTGAAATCATCCTGAGTGCTCAGACACACTGAGGTCCCTGGGGGACCTTATAAGCAAAGAGTTGTTTTGAACATTTCAGAAAAATTAAGCAAGAAAAAAAATCGTATGCTTTTCAATCCCTCTTGACTTCTGATGTGGAAAGCCAAGAGGATAATGTTTAACTGTTAGCATTTCTAATAATTTAAACATCAGAAATATAAAGACAGAGAGCCTCTGATTTTATGGGAGGCAGTATATCTGAGAAGGTAATTCCATCTCAGTATTCTCAGGAAAAATAACCTCAACACCTTGAGAAGCATAACACAAAGAACATGACAGGCAAAGTTTCGCTTTAAATTAAATTCTAAAGATTTGCAAGAATCTTTATAACACTTCTATGATGGCAGGAATGTGATTTATAAAATAGTTGGCAAAAATTCCAAGAAAAATAGTATGATGGCTGACCCTTCCATACCTGGTTCAATCTGTCTACCAAAGCCATTGTTTCCACTATGCTCAAACAGGAATTCCTTCATTTTACATGTCTCAGCCACACCACCAACACATACTTCTCTATTTCTTTTAGCTCCACTCATTCGCCCCAGAAGGCTCCTCTTGTTCTTCACTGTCAAGGTGTATATCACATGGCAGGTGCAGCTCAATAAGCTGGGGTAGTCAGATTTAAGGGTCACAAAATATCTTCCCTCTTCCACTAAGTATTCTGGCTATTCCTGTCCAGTCATCATTCCGTTCTCTCTACTTCTGTAGGAATTTTGGACAGATGTATGAAATATCTAAGCATGAACAATTCCTAGAAAAAGTACTTATAGGGCCATGTTTAAAAGATAATATGAGGGCTGGAATATAGCTCAGTGGTAGAGCACTTGCCTAGCATGTGCGAGGTGCTGGGTTCAATCTCACACTAAAAAAGAACAGGCAAAAAAAAAAAAGATATTATGAGCACTTTCCAAAATACTGCCTATGTAGGATAGACTAGGTTGCATTGTGCATATTAAATATAACATTTTAACATTATGTGAATTTAACATGCATATTTGTTCAACACAGGAAGCAACTGCTTGAAAGAGGCAATTATTCCTCATGACAAGATCTTATAGGAAAAAACACTACCATGCCACATCCTTCACAGCAATGGCAGCTCTTTCTGACCAGGGTGCTAAGAAGGGTTGTTCGCAGAGCAGGGCTGTGGTCCTTGCTTTCAGGTGACAGCTAAGAGGGTGATGTGAGTATCACACCCTTGCTGTGGACAGCAGTCCTCTGTCTCTTACTGGGGTAAGATTTTGTTGTCAGAGACAAGGAATGGTTTCAATGGATCTTTATCTATTGCTGTCTAGTTGGTATGCTATTTAGTGACTCAGAAACAAAGGCTGGAAACTCACTATGCACAAAGCACAGAACAGAAGACAGGCAACAAGGGTCCGCCCACCAGCAGTCTCAGCCGGGCAAGCCAAAGACCTCTTGGGACTCTCGTTTTGTTATTCAGCCAATGATAATGCTTGGCCCTGTGTAATTCTACAAGGTGCTAAGAAAATTAAATGAGATGATGTCTGAGCATGTGCTCATGGATACTGTGTAAGAGAACACTTTGAAAGGGGCTCTGGGGAATTTGTATTGAGAAAGGACTCAGGCTAAAATATTGATTACAGTTATATTTAAATCAATTAGTTGTATTTGAGATATGCAACTTTAAAAATATACACTCAGCCATGGGAGGTGTGCTGCATCCTAAATGGAAATGGGGGTGCGCCACAGTGTATGCACATTTTGGGGAGAAGCACTTTTAAAAAGCTTGAATCCATACCCCAGCATCTGGAGAAAAACAAGCAGAGGCCCACAAAACACTGCAAAATGTTCAAGAAAATAAATACCTTTTCCTCCTACCACTTCTTACTCTAATTCAAAATACCTGGTAAGAGAGTAAGAAAAATTACATTTCCCCCGGAAAGGCCAGCCCCAATTAAAATTCTCAATGTCTCTTACACCACAAGCACTGGCTTATTGGCAGATTACTAAGCCCTGGAACAATGTCACTCTGCTGGACCTGTATTAAAAATGTGCTTTATGTGGTGCGGGTCAGATCAGTGAGGAGCTGCCGGCAATGACGGGTTTGATTACCGCTGGCTGCAGACAAGACGTATGGATCCCTGAGGAACAGCAGCACCGGCTGGTGGGACAGTTTGCTGGAAAGGTCAAGAACAAGCATGTCAGCATCAGGGGACGACGGTAAACAGAAAACACTACAAACTAGCTTTGAGGGGATCAAACTGCTGTGTGGGGATGGCTTCAGGTTTACACATCCTCCAGAGTAGGCAAGTAATAGCAGACACAGAGTCAGTGCCCTGGCGCTGTGCTCATCTTCGAAGCATTGCTCTTGGCCTGACCTGGGAAGCAGAGGTGCAATCTGAAGAGCTCACCACTGCTGAGGAGTGCTCTCTTACACCCCAGATGGTCACAGATAAAGCAGCATTCTTCCTACTCATGTGAAACAACACGGGGTTCTTTATCCTTCACTCCCCCAACTACAACTGATTACTCCTGTGCCTCCCCATCAAACATTTATAATCTTCAAACCAATTCCCAACAAAAGTTTTCAAGAGAAATGTGACTTTGAACACATAGGCCATGGGTGATTAGACTAAACAAAGCATAGTCCTTGTTCTTGGTCTGTATAACTCCCAAGTAACTAGGAGAAGTTCTTACCTTGACTCTTCAGATTCTGTCTCATCAAAAGACCTAAAATTTTGTTAAAGAAAAGAAAAAGAAGACTAAATAAGTTGGGTGGATGTTTCTGTCAACTAAGGAAAAAACAGCCAGAATTCTTACAGCACTGAGTTGGGAAACAAGAAAACAAAAAGTTGTGGGTCTGCACTGAGTCCCAGCAATACCGGCTGGTGACTCATCCTAAGGATCGGTAGAGTCAAAAGGCTGAAGATTCTCGAATTTCAGTTTTCCTGAAGACCCTTTCAAAATCCTCATTACTTAATGAAAAGCCAAGCTTTCATTACTGGTATAATGGAGAGGAGACTCCACTCGTGGTCACTGTTAGTGTCTTTCTTAAAATACACAAACCTGCCAGTGAACACTTGCACCCAAGTTGGAACAGAACACACCAACAACACAGATTACCTGGTAAGTGTGGAGTATAATTTTAGCTCTGGTGGGTGGTCTTGAGTAATCAGTTCTGGTGAGGGGCTGTGACAGGTGTCCGCAGCCTCTCTCCCAACAGATGCTAGGTTTGACACAAGTTTGGGTGTGGTGGGCTTGATCTTCCTGCAGTTAGTGCTTCTCTCAAGGGGTAAATCAGCTCTGACACTGGGACTTGAGTTGACTTACTCTCTGTGAAAGGATTTACTCTGCAAGGATGTTGCTGACTACCTTCTGAGGTTGACTCAGTCTGAGCCCCGTGCTGTAACTGGGCAAGTGGCTGGTTGCAGAGTTAATTCTTCAGGAGACTTTCTCCAAGTGCTGGTGATATGCACCTTTGGTTCCTTGGAGGGCAGGGATTAGGGTGCGCAGCCCAAGTTCTTGATGGAGAAGCAACATGGCCGTAGAAAAAGAGGGCTGACGTGGGGAAAGCCTGGGTTTTGCTAGCTACAAGACAAGAGATCTTGGGAAAGTCACTTAATTCCTGTGTCTCTGTTTGGGTGACTGCAAGATGTGGAGAGCTGCATAAAATCATCTGTAAGGTCATTTATAGTTTTATAATTATATAAATATATACACAAGATGGTATGGACTTGACTCAGATATCCACAAGTAAACAACCTGTCCCTAAATGTCTTATCTAGACACGCAGTCACACACTGTATACTATAGCATCATTTGGAAGGTCAGTTCCTTATGTCTACACAGGAGTATCCAGTCTGCAACCAGTTGGTCAGTCACAAGATGGGGATGAGGACTTGGGAGGAATTCCTCTAACCACAAGCAGGGGGCGAGCAAGTGCCACCCCAACCGATCAGTTACCAAAGAGTAACTTAAACTACACACCTAATAAGTAAACAACAGTTCTTACCCACAACTTTCTGCCTTTGGTAGAGAGGGCAAGTGTCTAACGTTTAGGAAATCAAGAAAGAGTTTCGGAAGTTCTTCATTTTCTAAAATAACAGCCTGTGAAAACAGAAAACAGAATTAGAGACTGAAGTGAAGTTTGCTAGGCAATCAAAAGAACTCTATCAAAAAGTCCTAAGTGTCCATCAAAGTCCTTACCAGCAACACTCTCACAATCAGTATGAGGAACAGTCCCATTTCACCCACAAAGAATTCTGGCTGACAGGTGCCACATGTATACCAGCAAATGCAATTCTTCATCCATTCATTCAAAGGCATTTATAGAGCACCTCCTGCACTTCAGATGCTGACAAGCAGTGGGGAACTAGCTACATATGGTTCCTGCCTTCATGGAGATTCTAATCCAGAACGAATATTTCAATACCTGAGCACATCAATAATACCACTAGATACGTAAATCAAGTTTTCTGATGTACATGCCTTTCTACAAGACACCACTGTTGTTTAGGAAATACTATAAAATGTTTTTCTAACTAGAAAATATTGGCAACCCCCTTAGCTCTCACCTGTTTGGGTACTAGGATCAGCTGACATTTATTGCCATTTGGACAGCTCCACTTAAAGGGTCAGTGACAATTTCATCACCAAATGTAAATCAGGGTCCATATTTTAAAAAATCTATAGAGTTCTTCCATTTAAGAAGCTCTGCTTTACTGTGTCAGTACTCTGAGATTCAAATTAGGCAATTTCAAGGAGAAATCTGGTGGAGAAATACATACTCATGTATTTTGAAAAGAGTCTGCTAGAATGCATGACCTGAGTGCACATTTGCCCCTTCTCTTCTTTTCCCCAGAGACTGTGAAATTAACGTATCTGCTCTTAAAACTTACCACAGCTAATTTTTTTTCCCCCAATAAGCACAGGTTGATTAAAGAATAATGAGAACTGGGGGGTGAAATAGTACCCACACAGCAGATGAGGAAGTATATAAGCTATATGATGTGACACATCAGATACAAATAACAAAAGTCAGGTCAAGCTAGGAACGCACGTAATTCTGTCTTGTTTTCTGATGCAATTTCCCTATCAGGTTACCCCATTTCTCATGAGGTGCTGGAATCCTGTTATCCAGCTCAGGACACATGGGGGAGTGAGGGATGACACAGGTCTCCAGTCCTGCCAGGTTGCCTCTGTGCTGCATGCAGTCCCTGGAGAGGGCTCATCTGTGAGCCAGCACTGGCTAGGCTGTTACTGTTCCTCACAGTGACTCACACTGTACCTCAGAAGCTTAAGGAAGAAAGGAGAGAGGAAAGGTGATTGGGAATTCTACTTTGTTCATTAAGTAAATGTTCACTGGGCATCTAGCACGCAAGGCACTGGGAGATGTCAATGAGTACCACGGGGTGGTGGAGAAGCTTAGTGATGACCGAGGAGCACACATAACTTAAACTTGACCCAGAGGGCAGTGATACAGAATCAAAATACTGTACCATCCTCTGAATGTGTTCTCATTCACTCCATTCATTTATCTATCTACCCATAAATATAGAACAGTTACTCTTCTCTTATGATAAAAGTAGAAAAATGAAAAGTTCAGAAAATAAAGGAAAGTATAATTTCACACTATTTCAGCGAATTTCCTTCAGGTCATCTGATTTTATCTAAATTGTTCCCTACCTCTGGGAAGGAAACCAGAGGTTATTATTTCAGTGCCTGGCACTCGGAAGTTCCAGGAAACATGCACGTGAAATGCTTGCCACGGTACAAGTTGCAATGATTATCACGATGCTTCTAGTGATCTGCTTAAGAGGACAATACAATACCTATTTGAATAATAAAGCCAATGTTGTAACAAATTATAGAACAAATATATATTGTTCACCCCAGCAATAGTTCTAATTGTCTGTACAAGTGATAGTTTTCAGATTTAAAAAAAAAATGGGGAAGGGTACCACAATCTTATCTCCACCCCCCACCTTTTTAAAATAAATTAAATCAATAACAAGTATGGGACACTTTTAATGACCTGAACTACTTAATTTCCAGGATCTTTAGACATGTCATCCATCACTGCAGTATGGAGGAAGACATCTCCTGAGTGTTCTGGGGTTACTTTGGTTTTATTAATGCAAGATTTAGGGAATTTTAACAAGGTGAATTGTTTATTTGCCTTGACAGATTGGCTTACAATGCACTGGCTACATCTCTAGTATGATCATTAATGACAAAAGACAGGCAAAAAGTTGTTTACACTGCAACACAGGGACAGGAATTAATCCTGCCCAGTCTCCCCAGAGTCCTTCAAACACATGGCCACACTGTGTTAGGTAAGCTGTGCTGGCAAAAGGGAACACAGACAACTCCAAAACTTTGAGCATTTACTTTTGTTCTTTCAATATTCTCAATTAATATTTTCCAGAAAACAATGACCAAAATGTTCCTTAGGATTTACTGTTCTAAAGAAAGCAAGAAAGGGCTTAGTTAAGCACTCAATTATACAGGCAGGAGTATTTCCCAAAATCTGCTAAGATAGCGTGCATGAAAAGAATTAATGCTTAAATCCAAACAGAGATGCTGAGTAATATAGCAGAACTTACCTAATTTAATATAATATGTACAAGTGAAACAAATGTCATTAATTAGTACCGAGATACAAAAGAGGAATTAAATTAGTTCAACCCATCTTTTGGTTCATAAACACATGATCTCACTCAAGAGAGACTGAATGGTGAAGTGGGGCCTCCCGGCTGCTCCATTTACATGGTCTTCGTTTCTTGAAAAGCTTTTGCCCAGGAGAAGCACCCCTTCTCAAAGCTACGCCTAACTCATCCCATACACCCGGGCCCTGCTCTGGTTTAAATCACCCAGCTTTATGCCACAGAGAAGTTCTTTATGTGAAAACCCTCTGCTTTTGAATACTGGATCATCTTTCCCCATTGTTGTAGGTTGCTTCTCTATTTTTCATCGGTCCTCAATGGTTATGCATTCATCTTCAGAGCAGTGTGGTGTACAAAGCATGAGAGTTTTAGAGTAGGGCCTCGTTGGAATCTGTCTACTTTAAAGGGGCCTTAGCTTTGGAAAGATGTTCACTCTCTTCCTTGGAGCACTTTTGTTGTATCCGTTCCCAACCACCCATTTGGAAGTTTTGATCATTGTCCATCTAGTGAACAGCCCTTCTTAGCCTTCTGTGACTCAGGGCACTTTTGAGTAACAACTGAGTATTTTGTTTGTTGAGAAATACACACACACACCTAATGACTGTGCTTTCAGAGGGGGAGGTTCCCAGACCTCTGCAAGGACACCTGCCTTCAGCTCAGCCACGGCAGTCACACGACAGGGCACAACTTGTTTGGCCAGAAGCCTGGTACACAGTCAAGCCTGTGCCGAATGCCAGCTCTCCGAAGGTGAGTTCTTGACATCTTTGTCAGCTGGAGTCCTGCTGGAGTGTGTGATGCCTCCAGATGAGAACTCACTTGTGTTCTCAGCTCTGGCCTGGTTGTCTGGCACTGAGACCACCATGGCAAAGGATTCTTTCTGACAGACCTCACCCCTTCAGTTCTAGAAGGCAGTTCACATTCATGGCTTCTGTGTTCTGTGTCTCCTCCATATAATTGGAAATGCAACAACCACTGGTCCCCAAATTTGACAAAATATTTTGGAAAATATGATTTTAAACTGTGGCTGCTTGGTGACAGAATAACTGGTAAAGACTTGTCTGCCATACCGGTCAGGTGAGAGCCTTTTGGACAGAGGGTCAGTGCAGGGTTTGGCCCAGGGCTAGCTACCTAACTGACTACTGATTGTTGGAGGCAAGCTGGCAACCACTCCCAGCAACTAATTCACACAGTAAGACATTCATTCCACAAGATGTCAAATGAGCTGAATAATCCTCTTAGTTTATTAGTGCCACACAATCAGCACCCAAAGAAACAGAAGTAAGAATAAACTTAGGGATGTGGGTGTGGTAGCACATACCTGTAATCCCAGTATGCAGGAGTCTGAGGCAGGAGAATTGCAAATTCAAGGCCAGCCTGGGCTACATTGTGAGACCCTGTCTCAAAAAACCTAAGGTGAGAGGAGAAAAATAAACTTAGAAAGAACCAGAGGCTAGCAACAAAAATAACAATAAAGATTTCCATTTCCATAAACAGAGAGTGTACAACAGTGGGTACCAACCACAGAATGAGGCAGTGGAGGGCCAAGTAGAAAAGGACCCTTAGGTTAACTAACTGCTCTGTTGAGAAGCGTGGCTACTGATTCCTCAGCATGATCAAAGCTGCTAGAACAAAAGGAAGTGCTGTCCAACCAGCAAGGAGGAAGTCGATTTCAAAGCAACTCCTGCACCATAAAACCAGCAAAAGCGGCTTACGCACCGCAGCAGAGCATCCAAGTAACATGAGCCCTTTGTATACATGCAGATGGGAGGTGCTGTGGATTAACAGAAAAGAGCTCAATGCAATGTCCATCCAATTTATCACTTAGAATACATGGAGAACACATGGTGTATTACCAGGATGACATAAGAAATGGAGTTACGAGTGTGTGATTTGCTTTGTGACATACTTCAATATTGCTACATCTGACTTCAATAAATATTAAAACTGGGCTACTAAGTATACTTTGTAAAAGCAAAAAAAAATTCTTTACACAATGTTACTCTTTCGTAAGTATAGATGACTTTCCTTAAAACTAGATAGTCCTTCAAAAATATCACCCCAAAAGATAAACAAAAAAAAAAAAAATCTCATACTCCTCAAAAGCATTTGCAAAAACTGACCCTGAGCAGGGCAGAAAACATGAGCATTGCTAGCAGCAGCTCTGAATGATCAGTGTTTACACTGGGAGAAATGTCTTTTTTATTGAAAAGGTGCAATTATCATCATGTAACACACATCACAAAATCCCGATTTTTCCACCTTATCAGCTTTATAAAATCATGTTCCCAAAGGAGAACATTGATTAGTTGCACATGTTCTTTCTGTGACATCCCAAATACTTAATTGTCAGTTATCTTTTCTTCTTCAGTAAGTAAAATGTAGTCACAAAATTACAGAGGGACTTGTTCTGCCGTAACCTTCGCAAGATGCCATCATGCAGTA